CACATTTCCACTTTGATTTACAGAAACATCACAGGACTTAACAAGCTGGCAGAGGACACTAAAGGCAAAGTTAATTTCAAAGTGTCTTGTATCAAAAACGTTCCTGCTTTGCTTGTGCTGAGTTGTTTTGATGCATTCAGATTAGGTTTCCGGGTTTCGAGCAAGCCCCGTAGAACACACGGACCTGTGTTCCTAGGGGAGATGGAAGTTGCTCTCTGGTTTTTGTGCTCACTGGAGAGAGGATGGGAGGATGGGACAGGGACCAGGAGGGGGTGTCGTGCTGTGATTGTGCCGGCTCCTCACTCCTAGCTAGAGACCTGCACCAACACTGGTCTTCTTGGAGTTTAGGTGTCTCACCTATAAATGGAGAATCATAATATCATCCTGTGCATTGGAATACTCTGAAGATCACGAGATAAGACACAGAGAGCTCTTAAAACCAAGTGCACATGAGAGAATACCCAGGAAAAGCTGATTGTTGCACTACCCCCAAAATAGAGGCATGAATATATTAAAATTTGATTTGAGGACATGTATCCTCTTCTGGCCTTGCAACCTGTGGAGGTGCCCTGGGAAGCCTGCTGTCTGTCTGTGTCTTTGAGCTGTGAGCTGGGGCCCCGGAGGGCATGGTACCTATCTGCACCTGTACAGACCCAGGGTCCTGTCTGCAAAAGGACTATGTCCTTCTATTCAGCATGTTCAAATTTGTCTCTTAAATGAAGCCCTTTCTAGTGAAAAGACTTGGATTGGATTTTAATCCAATGTCCAGTGGGGCCCACATCAGCGACAGTTGTTGGGACATGAGAAGAGCTATCCATGTTAAGGGATATTCTTCATCGTCCTGTGCAAGAGAACTAGGCTGGTAGCAGATTCCTCCGTGTCTACACTCGGGACGAGGAGTCTGAGGTGGGTATGAGGCTACCGCACGCCACTTCCATCTGGTTGTCCTCCGTGTAGTGAAAGATTGCAGCATGTCAGGGGATGGGGGTGGACTTGGCCTTAAAATTCCATCACTGGTAGTGACCACACCAGTGTGAGAAGCTGAAACTACAGTGATCTCCACATACAGCTGCTTTCAAGTGCACACATCTGACCACACCGGGGCTGTTCCCAGGTGAATGCATGCTGTCCTCCATGTGAACCCTCCAAAGTCCTTAGTGATGCTGCCTCCTAGGCTGATACCCAGACCCCGCTGCGTTGCAGAGCTTTTTATTGTTGTTGTTGTCCTGTTTTGTCTTGCTGCACTGGGATTGAATCCCGGGCACTCTACCACTGAGATACACCCCCATCCCTTTTTGTTTGATTCTAAGACAGAGTCTCACTAAGTTGCCTGGGCTGGCCTCAACCTTTCAGTCCTCTTGCCTCAGCCTCCTGGGTAGCTGGGATCATGGGGGGGCACCACTGTGCCACCATGTTGCAGGTTATTGGACTCATCTATGGGAGAGGAATGGAGGGAACTGGGGGGTTCTGTCCTGGAGAAGTGATGTCTGAGCAGTCCTGGTTTACCCCCGTGTCCCTCATCTGGTGCCACCTTCCTCCTGACTTACACTCAAGGATGACTTCAATGCAGAAACTTTCTTCTCCCTTGTTTGCTGTGCCTTGGCAGTTTGACCCATCATGTCCTGATAGTTCATGAACTTCATGCTCTCCTTCTAGAGCCAATACATCCCAGGGCATGGCTACCCACACAGACCGTCATAAGCCTCTGCTTGGTGGTTCACAATTCCAGTTGTATGTTAGAAACTCCAAACAGTAAAGTCAGAAAGGCAGAGAAAGAGAGTGCAGAGGGAGGGCAGAAGGAGGAAAGTGACACCTGGCTGGACCCAAGAACAACCATATCTCTGCAGGGCTGGTGGCTGGTCAGTCCAGGCAGTCCTAATGCAGGGGCCAGGTGGACAGTCATGGTGCTGAGCAGGCTCATTCTAAACTTCCACCCTGCCTACCGTATTCATCTGTAGGTGACCTTCTGATGAAAACCAGTAACTGGACTCCATGGTGAGCTCGGATTCAAAGATGAGCATGACCATGCCTCTCAGGACACACACACACACACACACAGAGACTCCAGGATCCCGGTCCTTCCCCTCAGAGTTCAGCATGACAAAGTGATAATTACTGCCGAATATGCAAGGCTTCTGGAAGCTCTCCAGTGCCGTACGTTTACAACAGGGTATTCAAACTTCCACTGATATGCCAGATATACATGATGAGTTATTCCAAGCCGGATCAGCACGTGCAGAACGTGTAAAGGAAACTGTCAGGCGCTCAGTTCACAGCCCCAGTGCAGCAGACCCTCCAGGAAGCCCGCCCAACCTGCTGGGCCTTCATGAGAAGACACACATACTTGCAAAGTTCTGCCTGAAGTTCAGGGGCACAGGCTTTTTGAAGTTTGTGCTGTCCCAGGTTAATTCCCAGGTTGGAGCTCTTCCTCACCACATCAGAGAGAGGACACTTAGCGCAAAGGAGACCTGGCTGCTGGTGTATCTGGGCCAGCAGAGAGATCTAAGGGAGAAGGGACTCTCATGGCAGGGACCCTCCACATCAGACTCCAGGAGGAGGAGCATTAGGTGAAGTGAACAGCGCTGGCTAGCTCACGGGTGGCGGTGGAGTCGTAGGCGGGTCTTTGGACAAAGCTTCAACACATGGAGAGGTGAATGGGTAGGTATGTCACAGTGAGCTGCAGAGACAAGGAGAGGGTGTGGGGCTAAGAGAAGCCCTGTGTGCCCATCGGGTAGGATTGTTCCATGGTGTTTGAGATGAGGGCACCCGGAAGGGTACAGGACTGAGCACCACTGGAGGTGTCAGGTCAGGCCGTGGGCGTCACACAGCTCAGGCCATGGGGTCACACAGGTCAGGTTGCAGGGTCACAGGACAGGAGGCTGCTGGAAGGGCCCCAGCCCTCGGCATAACTTTTGCTCATTGGGCCCCACAAATGCAACTTTCCTGTGACCAACATGGCAAGGTGGGCCCAGCACAGCCCTCATAGAGATGATCCCATTTCATCCACGGGGAAGCCATACCACAACTCTTATAAATATAAAGACACGGGAGTGTTCTCCAGGACCTGGATCCCACCTTTCTTCTATTGGTGAATAGTGAAGTCCACTTAGGGCTCCAAAAAGACAGCTGTGATTGGCTTATGGGAAGCAAGGGGTGTATGAGTGTGTGCACACGCATGGCATGGAATATCATTCAGCCAGTTCAAAGGTACCAGCCCTTGGCCTCATGTGGATGATTCTGGCGGACATCGTGCTAGTGAAACAAGCCTGACAGAGAAAGAAAACCGTGCAGGCGCTCATGTCCACGTGGAATATTAAAGAAACAAGAGCAACCAAAGGGAGTAGACAGAGAATGGGACAGGGAGCGCCAGGGCCAGCTGTGACGGGGGCAGAGGAGTTAGAGTAGCAGCGTGTGGGATGAGCCATCTAGGGTCTGATGCCCAGAGAGGCCACAGTGCTGGGGTGGGCTGTGCACGTGTCTCCTGTGGGACAACCTGATGCGGGATCCCCTGGCTACACCAACAACCGTGAGCCCATGTGAGGGGAGGGAGGCTGATTCACTTCACCAAAACCACTTTCCTAAAACCACGTGATCCAGAGCACGTTAGCCACTGTGAACAGGCACAATGACATTCATTTTAAAGAAGAAAAGGAAAATGAGATTTTCCATGTGCACATTTATCCATGAAAGAAATAAAAAGGAAGGGGAGAGGAAGGGCCCCTGGGCAGGGGTGCATGGTCTCCAGGCCCACCCCATCTTCTGCTTCCCAGATCAAACCTCCTTCCCGTGGGAGCCGAGGATTGAGAGCCTGCAGGACTCCCCAGCAGGTGCCATCGTCCCTGCCATTGCTCCCGTCCAGGACAGCTCCTCCTGTCCCTGTGGGAGATGCTGCTGGAGCATCCCTGCAGTGGAGTCTTAGGTCTTCCGATGCCATTTCTCCACCCTCCTCTTCCTCCTGCTCATCTTTCTCTCTCTCCCTCCCTCTTTCTCCCTTCATTACTGAGCCCCCCTTACACAGCACTCCACCCCTGCCCTTATGCCAAGGAGGAAGGCTGCTCCTGAGAAGACCCCCATATCCCTGAGCATCCATACAGTTGGGTGGAGAGATAAGAGGTTCCATGGCTCTGTCACCTGTAGGGAGGGTGCCTCTGAGACTCCTGAGTGACCCTCTTGCAAACTCAAGACTTACTTGAGTCTTCAGGTTGGATCTGATGGATGCAGCATGCTTTGGCCCCCGAGGCTTCACACCTCTCTCTGTGGACTCTCCCTGACAGTCTTCATTTCCTCTTCTGGGAGGGGCTGGCACGATACTACTTGTTTTTTTAACCTGACACATAAAATGGCAGACATTATATAAAAAGCAGACTATAAAAAGGTACAAGAGGTAGCCAACTAATTAAACTAACATTAAGAGTTGCTGATCTAATCCTAGTAATCTTTTATTCCTTTCTAGATGCATGCCTATAGGAATCCAAGCTGTCGAAAAGCTAATGTTTGTCACAATAACTCCTGTGTCCAGGTAGCATCTGTCCATGTTGCCATGCTCATCAGCATGGACCCCTTGGTCTGAGCTCTTCCCATGCCTTGCCTCTGTTCCTCTGCAATTCTCTCACCAGCTAGAAAACAAAGCCACAGCACCCTCAGATGCCCAAGGAGTTGTCCACCCACCTCTAACTGGCCATCCTTTGCAAGACAGAACTGAGCAGGAGAGGGAGTCCTCCCCTATGGAGACGGGTCAGAAAGCACTTAGGAAGTGGAATTGCAGTTGGCCGTGATGATCCCCCTCACCTGCCCTGGGGATGATGTACAGCTCACAGAATCGGGGAGTTGGGGCCATCGAGTATTGCTGTGTGAGTCCAGCAAACACTGCAAAGCCCACTGTCAATGGTGTGTCCTTCCTAATGCCCTGTGTGGGTGACTAATGCGGAAATTCCCATGGCTGCACACCTGCAGCCGGTGCCCCGCTTAGTCCTTCACAGTTGCTCTCTCCTCCTCTCCAGTGTGGACGGCACCTCCTATGAAGTCATGCAGATCGACGTGGAAGTCGAGGAGTCCAGTGACCCGTCCACCACACAGCTGGTCACGTGGCAGGTGGAGTACCCAGGAGAGATCACGTCGGACCTGGGAGTGTCCAAGATCTACGTGAGCCAGAAGGACTTGATTGGAGTTATCCCGCTGGCCATGGTAAGAGCGCCTGCCTCGGGCTCTTTGTACCGAACTCCGGGACAGGGAAGGTGCCACGCTGTGACCCAGGTTTGGTGGGGAATGTCAGTGAGCGAGAACCAGGGTAGGGGGAGAAGAGGCTGTGAAGTTGACCACATCCGCCAACTCTAGAAATGTGCACTCTTAACTCCAGGTATTAAAATTGGGTCTGTCTTTGTATGAAAATGATTGCTGATTTGATATCTGCGTGGCATATGATGTAGATCCTGTGTGGAGTCTGTTCATGTGCAGCTCTGCAGGGCAAAGGCGTGGAGTGTCGGGTGGCCGTGCCTGGTTGTGAGCAGGGCTGAGGCTGTTGTCCCTGAGCATGGCACATGGCTTAGGTTCTGTTGCGGGAAACCAGAGGAGCATGGGTTATGCCAGCAGGTGAGCTGATTCTGCAGCAGGCCTCCTTTGTTACTGAACAGCTCCCAGCAATGAGATGGAGCTCTTTCTGGAAGGGGCCATCAGAGTGCGGGGCAGCCTGCGGGCACGGCTGGTTCTTGAACCGCATTGATGAACTGGTTCCCACACTTTGGTCTGGTAAGACTCCAGCCGTGCTGGCAGGGCGGCTGCCCGTGGCTCGAGAGTGAAGAGCCGGCTTGTCATGGAAGAGTGGTGGCCGTCACCCTCAGTACCTTACTTTGACTTTGTTACTCTGATGTTCGTTGAGGGATATTTGTAAGAAATCAGATGCAAATCCCAGAATCACTAGAGAAAGAGGAGCGCCGGCTGGCTCCCCTGGGCCAGGTGAGGACAGAGGTGGGGCTGGGTTGTCTAAAGAAACCAGAGGCTACCAGGTGTGGTCAGGAGACAGGTGGCCTAATGGTGTCTTTAGGAAGCACTCTGGCTGCATGTGGAGATGAATTCAGAGCCAGAGGACCTCTGAGAGAGCTGAGCAACACGACTCTGGCATCTCTGAAGGAGACCTCCTAGTGCAGTCTCAGGGCCGGTGAGTCTATGTGGTTCTAGCCCCTGTTTGGGATTAGCCCAGGTTTATATGATGGCTTCAGAGGCTTAGGGAACAGCATCCTATGGCTGAGTGACCCCAGAGATATTGTCCTTGTCTCCATGATCCCAAATTAATGACAAACATGTCCACACTGCAGCAGCAAGAAGAGGCTGAAGGAGACAAGGGCAGACTCAATCTCTTGCTCAGTGCACCACCTCTGCTCCCATCCTATTGGCCACACCCCAGTGTGTGGATGGCAGGACTTTCCCAAGCACTGGAAATTGGTGTGGAAGAAATTTGGGAATAAAGGATAACTCCAAAAAAAAAATTCCCCTGATGGCTCCCTGATACCACCACATAAACTTACAATGCTAGAGATTTTTCTATCTTAAATTACACTGTGGCTTATATTTTGGGTATGGAATCCTTTGCATACATCTCTGATTGATTCCTTGAGGTAAACTTTTAGAAATATGAATCAAAGGATATGCAATTTTTAGTAGTTTTTTCAATGGTTGCCAAATTGCCTTCTGGAAAGTTTAACTAATTTACAGTTCCACCTGCTGTGTATGATGACACCCACATCCCAACAACTTCACCAACACAGAATATTAAAATTTAAAACAGAGAATTTATTAAGCAAAAATTATATCTCAGTGTTGCCTTAATTTGTCCTCCTTGGGTTACATTTTTTTATTTCCTTATTAAACATTTGCTTGTTGCCTGTTTTATTTTCTTAGTGGGAATGCAACTCCTTATTATTACTTTGTCATAAATCTTCTTTTAAAGTGGAAAAAACCCCACATGATATTGAATTTACCATCTTGAACTTTCGTTTTTGAAATTTTTTTAAACTTGTTTTTTTTTTTAGTTACACATGACGGTAGAGTGTGTTTTGACATACCATACATACATGGAGTATGATTTCCGCTCCTTGTGGTGATACATGATGTGGAGCGACACTGCTCATGTATTCATATATGAACATAGGAAAGTGATGTCTAGTTGATTTTACTGTCTTTCCCATTCCCTTTTACCCTCCCTTGCCCAATCAGGTGAACCTCCACTCCTCCCTCCCTCCTGCCTATATGACAGAACATATTCGGCCTTTGGTTTTTTTGGAATTGACTTATTTCACTTAGCATGATACTCTCCAGTTTCATTCATTCACCTGCAAATGCCATAATTTCACTCTTCTTCATGGCTGAGTAATATCCTATTGTGTATATGTATCACATTTTTTTTAATTCATTCATCTGTTCAAGGGCATCTAGGTTGGTTCCATAACTTTGCAATTGTGAATTGAGCTGGTATAAACATTGATGTGGCCATGTCCTCTGAGTATAATGCTGAGGAGTGGGATAACTGGGACAAATGATGGTTCCATTCTAAGTTTTCTGAGAGATTGCTATGCTGCTTTCCAGAGTGAGTTCACCAATTTGCAGTCCCTCCAGAAATACGTGAGTGTACCTTTTGCCCCACATTCTCTCCAACATTTATTGCTACTTATATTTTTGATAATTGCCATTCTTATTAGAGTGAGATGAAATCTCAGTGTAGTTTTAATTTGTGTTTCTCTAATTGTGAGTGATTTTGAACATTTTTTCATATATTTGTTGACCATTCATATTTCTTCTGTGAAGTGTCTGTTCAGTTCCTTTGCCCATTTATTGATTGGGTTATGTGTATGTGTGTGTGTGTGTGTGTGTGTAAGTTTTTTGAGTTCTTTATATATCTTGGAGATTAATGCTGTATCTGAGGAGCAAGTGGCAAAGATTTTCTCCCTTTCTGTAGGCTCTCTCTTCCTGTTTTTGATTATTTCCTCTGCTGTAAAGAAGCTTTTTAGTTTAACAAAAATCTCATCTATCGATTTTTAACTTTACTTCTTGTGCTTTAGGAGTCTTATTGCAGAATTTGGTTCCTAAATCAACATGATGGAGAATTGGGCCTGCTTTTTCTTCTAGTAGATGCAGGGTCTTTGATTTAATTCCTAGTTCCTTGATCCACTTTAAGTTGAGTTTTGTGCATGGCGAGAGATGGGGGTTTAATTTCATTGTGTTGCATATGGATTTCCAGTTTTCCCAGCACCTTTGTTGAAGAGTCTATCTTTCCTCTAGTGCATGTTGATGGTGCCTTTGTCTAGTATGAGACAACTGTATTCATGTGGGTTTGTCTCTGTGCCGCAGTCTGACTGGGCACAATTCAGGAGCCACTTGTCAAAAGAAACAAACTTTATTTTTAAAACTACAAACGCCAAACAAAACAGCTCCTCAGGAAAAACCCTCAGAGCCSAACTGCCACCACTGGCTTCCAGAAGCCTCTCCCCCCACAAACCACACCACCTCCCACAATCCTCCTGCTCTTGAGGCCGATTGGCTGGGTCRCGTGGGCGGAGCCAAAGAAGTCCCCCAATGAGCAGTTCCGTAGTCTGAAGGGCAGGGAAACAGCCCAATGAACATGACTGCAGAGGAGCCAATCAGCTAGATGTTGCTGGGGTCACTGTGAGCCAATCATCAGCTGGCAGCTTGAAGGGCAGGGAAACAGCCCAATGAACATCGCCGCAGAGGAGCCAATCAGCTAGATGTTGCTGGGGCCACTGTGAGCCAATCATCAGCCGGCAGCTGGGAGTTTGCTGGCAGCTGGAAGTTTTCTGGGGCCCCTTTGGCTGTGGCTCTCAACATCTCTGCCTTCTATTCTGTGCCATTGATCTTCACGTCTGTTCTGGTGCCAACACCATGCCGTTTCTGTTACTATAGCTTGGTAGTATAGTTTAAGGTCTGGTATTTTGATGCCTCCTGCTTCACTTTTTTTGATGAGGATTCTATCTGGGCCTCTCTACACATAGTTGGTTGGCTTTAGATGTGATCACGTTGCTGCTCCCTGGATCTCTAGGACTTCTCCATCTTGCAGAACTAAAACACTTCCCCCTCCTCCTCCGACATGGGAAACACTTTTCTACATCTGTGGTGCCAGCCGTCTGATTGACATAGCACCCACTGCCTTTCCAGTTTACTGTTCACCTGCCAACTTCACAGGTTACATTTTTTTTTTGATGTGCAGAAAGTTTTGCTTGTCTGATTGTGTGTGTATGTGTGTGTGTGTGTGTGTGTGTGAGTGTGTGTGTGTTCAAATCCACTGATCTTTTCCATACAGAAATCCCCCATCTCCCTCTAATTACTTCCAAGAGGAAAGATGGACCTGTTTTATTTGTTTATAAAAATCTCCAACTATTAAAATATCTGAACACGGCTCACATACACACAGGCAAGCCGAAATGCAGCCTTGGGAAGTGAAGCCAAAGGCAGACGCATTGGAGAGTTCTGCAGGGTGGAGGACGGGAGGCCAACCTGGGGCAAAGCCCACGGCCTCCCCTTCTTGGTGGATGTGTGATTTCACCTCTGGGAAACTTGGAGCTGGGACATAGCTACCCTGGTGTCCAGGGCTGTGAGGGCTTTTGCATTCTCTTACCCAGTCATTAATTTTTGTGAACTTCCTTGCATATTTTCCAGTTTGGGAAATCCACCTGGACTATGCTCTAGGTAAAATGTGTTTTTGACCTCAGTGAACACTGTCCACCGCACGTCCCTGTCTCACCCTGGGCCCAGGTTGCCCTTCTCTGAAGAGTGGGAGTCCTCCTTGGAGCCACAGTCGTTCTGAGGAGAGAGGTCCTGAGCTCCGTGGAGGCGCCTGGCTTGTGGCTGCCACATGGGTCTGGAGCTTGGCCAGGCTCCCAGGCAGCCATGCTGAGACCCACGTCAGCGGGTCCCATGGCACCGGCAAGTCCTTTAAAACTTGGTCATAAGGCCCTTCATTTCCAAATCCAGCAAACGCGTTTTCACTCCTTTCAGGAAGAGTCTTTGGGGGCTGCTAACATGGATGTTGCTGTCAGTTCAGGAAAAGGAGGTGGAGGACGTTTGGGAGGTCAGGACCTGGCCCTCCTGCAGCGGGTCCCCATGGGTGCTCGTTGCATCTTGGGTCCCCACAGGTGCTGGTTTTGTCTCGTGCCTCAGCTGTGACGACCACTCTTCGG